TGTATTGATTGCTACTTGTGACCAATATTGGTCAAAATTGACTTGACAAAGTGTAAAAGGGTCCTACAAGTTTCTCACACGTTTTTAGAATTTATACTGCTATTGCTTGACGCGGTAGTGATAATTATTAGGGAAACTGCGCATTTTCTTTACTTAATTGACAGCCATATGCTTGAACGTATAACACCTTGCACGGAATTAAAAGCTTCGCGAGTTTTGGATAAAAAGTTTGGAATTTTGTATGCACGGGGAGCAACGAAACAAAAAAAAAAAATTTGAAACTTTCATATTTATGTAGCAGAAAATGGGGACGAAACTTCTTTTCCAATACCACGAAATAATTTTATCGAAATATTGAGATTTATTCGCTTTGTGACGAAGTCAACGTGTGCAAAGTGATAAATTTGCTTCGATATCAACTGTGTGGGATATAAGTTTATTCAAAATAGTCAGAGTTGCTAGGTGCAAATGTTACAATCGACAAACAACTCTTTCCATCTAAAGCAAATTTATTCAATATTTGAATAAACCTGACAAATTTCGTATTAACTGTACTGCATAACATGGGATCTCTATTGTAATAAATCAATAAATATAAAAATATTCTATTATTACGTTTTTTTTTTTTTTTTTTTAAAGACCAGTCATTTCGACTGGTTTTGATAGAAACAGCTTCGTCTTGTCAAAAACAGAGAATATAGCTCCGAAATTAAATGTAGAAAGAATTTCAAACCCCATAAAAAAAAAAAAAAGGAAATTACAAATTGTAAAGTGTTTCAACTATACCGATAGTTCATCGTTCTGTTTCTCTGTTCTGTTTCCATCTCGATTCAGCAACAAGAGAACAATTCGTGTAGCGATGGACAGCTGTCGGGCGTGATGCCGGACGTGGCGATGGCGACAGCGTCTTTCGGTGCGTTGCAACTGATAGAGGAACAGGAACTGGAGTTGGACCTAGGGGACGGAGCTTCTCATCTCCTGCAGCACGTCTCGCCGTCGAACGGGACGATGGGTTCCCACAGGTCGTCGCTTCCTCATCCCCATCAGAGGCACTACACCGGCCCGCCTCCTCCACCGTACATGTACCATCGAGCTGGCACTGCCTTACCAAGATTTATTTAAGATTTCTACGAGATAAGAGAGGACTTGTATGGCAACTGTAACCAATCCCTTAACCGGGTCGTTCGTCGCACAGCGAACGGAAATGGAATCACCAGGTGTACTCTTCATGTACTGCCAAGTTTGTTTTCTCAGCAGTTAGACTAGCAAACGGAATATCTCTTGGTTGGCCTTGCCGAGGATTCGAATGAAATTCGATGAATTTAGAGGTTGGATATTTTCATTAAATCGCACGCTGCTTTCCACGACCGTGTAGAGAACGCTCCGGGGACTTGGCACACAATTAAATCGGACAGCAGGTATTAAGAATTAATGAAAAAGGAGCCTTGTCCACGTTTTATCTTGCTTCGAGATGGCAAGAGAATACTTTAGCAAATTTAATGTACTTCGAAACAGGTCACAGGTTTGTTATGACCTGCTCAGTTAATACACAGTCGTGGTTCCATTGTATCCATCGAAAGATCCGTAGCATTCTCATCGTCGCAAGCATCCTCCACGCAGGTCGCGTTGTGAAGCACGCGTTAAGAATTAAATATTCTAAAAGCAATTCGTCCAGATTTCATTGCAATCTTCGACACCAATCTCAGGGCCTTTCTCTTCGCTAAACAAGTTCAAATATCCCAGAGGTATTTTATACTTTAGCGAACGCGAGTATAGGCCCGTCACCTGCGCCAAGTGTTTGCCTTTAATTAATTTGTAAACGGTGGCGCCTAAGAGTTGGAGGCACATTTCGCGCAGGTGTCGCGGCACACTATTCGCGCTGACGTGTAAACGAAAATTATTTACGGTCGACGATTGGCTCGTTGACGCGATCGGTATTGGTGGGAACGTCTGCCTGGAGGCACTTCTGTGATACACGAAGACGTACTTCTTGTGGTTCATGTCGCGGCAAAGATTAAAACGCGCAACGTGTCGATAAAAAGGAAACTTCGTTCTTCGCGGGTACAAATTTACTGATACGACGAAGAGATGAACAATTGTACGTACGTGTTTTATTTAAGCGCAGCTTAACGAACGTAGAAGACCCCTTGATTTCCAGGATACATACACATGTATATGTATATATAATATATATCCGTACATCTAAACATCTTGTATATAATATATAGATGTACATAGATATGTATCTGTATACAGAGTGTCTCAGGCTTAACAGGCTAAACATACTTTTTACAAGGATGTAACTGCTAGCTGTTTCGTTTCGAAAATTGAAGTTCTTATCGTTCGATTTTGCTGCATCTCAATGAAACGATCGACTTTTTGTATCAGTTTCGCCACGCTTGTTAATACTTGTTCAATCTAGGACGTTTAAATGTAAAAATCCAGTGGCGCCAAATTTTATTACAACTTTTTAATAAAGGCAGAAGTTGGTCGTTAAATCCTGAGACACGCTGCATATCTATAAATATATATATAAATATATATATATATATATATATATATTTATATTTATATTTATAACTGTAAGCCGGATTCGGGAGACAATTCGATCGTGGAAAGTTCATGCTTGTTAGGTACAATCATGTAATAATAAATGTAACTTCTAGGTGCAGACGCGTGCGAGGTGCAGATATGCAGCTGTGGTTCATATACGTACGGACGTCGTGTATGCGCATAGGCGTGAATACAAATTGCGTGTGACTGTGTATGTAGTGTACACGAATGCGCGAGCTCTCTAAGTACCATATAAAGTGTTAATTAGACGATTATGTCGCCGATGTTGCGAGAGTGAATGAATGAATTCCCGAACAAAACAATACGACGGGATGAGTGAGAGAGGGAGAGAGAGAGAGAGGAATGAATGAATTCGAGAGGAAAGACGAGAGAAAAATTGAGAAAAATGAAGAATCCGGAGAGAGAACGAGAGTATGTGCGATTGTATGAGGTCGAAGAGAGAGAGAGAGAGGGGAGGGGGAAGAGGGAGAGAACGAAGGCCACACGGAACGTGCAGGTATATATGATCAGTGTTTCTGAACAGTCATTGTTCTTTATTTAAAAGGAGATGCCGCTATGGGGTATGATCTTTGCTAATTCATATTACCTATGATATTCAATAAAAATTATTTAAATATTAGTAGATGCACTTTATCTTCGAGCAGCAGCGTATCGTTAATAAATTATTATTTTTTACGAATCGAATCGGTGCGTGATTCTTGCGTTTAGAGAGCCGCGCCACGGGTCTCTGAATGATTTCTTTCCGTCGATTTTCCCTGTTGTTGGAACTTATATATATATATAAACGTAAAGTTTCGTATTGTTCGCCAGCTGTACAATATTTCGAACATATCGTGTTCAGATGGTAGCCAAGATACGTCGATCCTTGTTTTTCAATGATAATTCCATAGTTTCTTTCGTTTTTTTGTCATGGAAAACAATAAGACAGAAATAAAAGGATGTTCGTTAAAAAAAAAAAAAAAAAAAAAAAAA